CCTCAGACCCAGGAGTCCAGACCCCAGCTCATCCTCCCTCAGACCCAGGAGTCCAGACTCCTAGCTCCCTCTCTGTGGGACCCCGGTGTCCAGCCTGCTGCTCCGGACCTTGGTCTGAAATTTTTTCTTGCGGTCAGGCAGCAGGTAGATCTTGACGTAGGGGTCTGAGAAGCCGTTGGAATCCTTGGCAGGGAGGTCCAGGGCCTGCAGGATCCTCACCACCAGTTGGTCTGAGCCATAGAGGTACCGCAGGGCGAAGCTGATGCGGCCACAGGGTGCCCCTGTGCCTGCTTCTCCGGAGCCTGGGGCCCCCCCACCCCGCCGGCCACCAGAGCCAGTCCCCTGGTACAGCTCGGGCTTAATCTGCCCAATGAGTTTGGCTTTTTCCTCGCCGCCAGGCAGGGGTAAGGGCAGGGCGGGTGGCCGCTCCTCACTGTTGGGGTCCGGCTGGGAGGTCAGAGTCTGCTGGGTGAGGGGTCGGGGCAGGGCTGGGTACCTGTAGGGGGTGGGGGAGACCAAGGTGAGGTCAGTGACTCTGATCTTTGCATGCAGACACTTGAGAGATTCCTCCCTGCCTTTCCCTCTGTCACCCAGCCAGGTGGCCACAAGTGCCCTCCTTTGCTCACTGTGTAAGCTTGAGGGAGCCACTGGGCTCTCTGAGCCTCAGTTTCCCCATTAGTATCTGGGGGCATTCCCTCCCTCCCTCCTTTTCTTCTTTCTTTCCTTCTTTCCTTCTTTTTTGAGACGGAGTTTTGCTCTTCTCGCCCAGGCTGGAGTGCAAAGGCAAGATCTCGGCTCACTGCAACCTCTGCCTCCCAGGTTCAAGCAGTTCTCCTGCCTCAGCCTCCCGAGTAACTGGGAGTACAGGTGTGTGCCACCATACCTGGCTAATTTTTATATTTTTAGCAGAGACGGGGTTTCACCATGTTGGTCAGGCTGGTCTCAAACTCCTGACCTCAGATGATCCGCCTGCCTCGGCCTCCCAAAGTGCTGGGATTACAGGCGTGAGCCACCGCGCCCAGTCTCATTCTCCCCATTTCAAAGCTAGCTCCAGCCTATACCTGTGAATGCATCAGCTTTCAGTAACCTCCTTTGGGCCTCAAGCTGGTGACCCAGGATGCTTCTCCATGGACCCCCAACGCCCCACATAACACAGACCTTCCTTGAACCCTCTTCTGCCCTTCTCTTAATCTCCCTGGCTGTCTCTCCTCTCTATCCCCACTGTCCTGGTCACAGCTCAGGCCTTGTCCTCTCCTGAACTCTCAGCCTCCAGTGTCTCCCTCCAGCCCACCCCATGTGGCCCCAGAGGGTTCCTTCTATACCCAGAGCTGACTCTGCCCCTCCCCTGCTCACAGCCCTCCCATGGCTTTTCAGTGCCCTCAGGACAAAGTCCCAGAGCCTCAGCCTGGCACTCAAAGCCCCGTGTGGTCTGGTGTCCGTAGCCACATCTCTCAAGTTTTCTTTTTTCTTTTCTTTTCTTTTTTTTTTTTTTTGAGATGGAGTCTCGCTCTGCCACCCAGGCTGGAGTAGAGTGTACAATCTTGGCTCCTGGGTTCAAGAGATTCTCCTATCTCAGCCTTCTGAGTAGCTGGGATTACAGACACATACCACCACGCCCGGCTATTGTTTTTTTTTGTATTTTTAGTAGAGACGGGGTTTCACCAGGCTGGTGTTGAACTCCTGACCTCAAGTGATCTGGCCACCTCGGCCTCCCAAAGTGCTGGGATTACAGGCATGAGCCACCGTGCCCAGCCTGAAGTTTTCTTTTTTTCAAACTTATTCTCATGCCTTGGTGACTAAGGCATGGTGCCCTGGCTGTCCCCTTGGTGTGGGCTGTCCCCACAATGC